GTGGGCGGCCTGAGCTTCAGCGGCAGGGTCATCGCTTGGTGGCAATTGCATCCCCCGCCTTGCCCCAGCCAGGGGAGCCCCAAGTGAGCAGAAAGAAATAGGGCTGGGGGATCTCCGGATGCTGCCATTTTAAGGCCGTTCCCCTGCCTCCCCGGGGAGCAGCAGCTCAGGGCTTCTCCGTGTGCCTGGGGGATGCGGTGCCACCGGGATGCAGGAGAGAAGCCATGGCTGTGCTGGTGCCTGGTGACACCGGTGCAAACGGGGATGTGGGACCATTTAGATGGACACAGATCTCATTCCCTGGGGGGAAACCCTGGCCCAACACTCTCGCCCCACTGCTGCAAAGCCAAGCTTTTGAAATGCCAAGGGTGCTGCCGGCTCCGGAGGGATGGGGGTGCTGCCGGGCCAATACCCCTGCTGCCCTGGGGGCCGCCCTGGGGGCCACCCTGGAGCTCATCTGCCACCCCACGCCAGTCCCCAGCCCTGCCATGCCGCTCAGGGAGGACAGGGATACAGCACTTCACCCAAGGATTTCCCCAGCTCCTGGCCTGGCCCCAGTGCAGGGCGCAGTGCTGAAACCAGGACACAAGGCTGAAACCGATGCCTGGTGAAGTCCCATCCCTGGCTGGGGCTTCCAGAAGCGGGTGCCTTGAGTGGACGCAAGTGGAAACCACCTGCCGCCATGGTCCCCAAACCACGCTAATGAAGACCTGAAACCTGCCACAAACCCGCACTGGCAAGTCCAGCAGCCTGCAGTGCTGGGGCCAGCCACGAGCACCTCCAGCATCGCAGTTGGTGGCAGAAAGCAACACCGGATTTCCCAATCTAGCTCGGATATTCTGCTGCTTTGATTATTTGACAGACCATGTTTTTTAAATTATTCTTATATAAATATTTACGCATTTTTACAAGAACCATGCTTTGAGCAACAAGCCATGGCAGAGAGGCCAGAGGGGAGGGGGCCGGACGCTGGATTGCTCCATCCCTGCCTTGCAGGTCAGCTGGGGGTTGAGAGTGACTGTCGCATGCTGGGTGCTAACAGCCCGCCCACGCGAAAGGTGGCTGCTTGGTGCAATCCTGCCCTTCCCCTGGCTCCCCTGGCTTCCTACTCCCCAGGGAGCAGAGCCTGGCCGAACTGCATGCTGCAGGGCACACACTGCTGGACGCTGCTGGGAGCCTGGCACAGCCCCGCACGCGTCCCCAACCTTGTCCCTGGCCTCATGCCTGGTCCCTTTGCCTGGCCAGGTCCAAAAACCACCCCCTGCGGCCACCCTGAGCCGAGAAAGCTCCTTCACTGCCCTGCCACCAGGCAGCAGGGGGAGGACATGGCTGCCAACAGGATGGAGACCACCCCTCCATCCCCTCCATCCCCTCCATCCCCTGCTCCCACCCTGGGCACAGCCCCTTCGTCCCCTCTGTCCCCCGCTCCCACCCTGGCACCGCAGCCTGGCCCAGCCCTTGCACCCTGGGCCAGGTCAGGGAGTGGGTGCTGGGTGCCAGGATCCCCTGTGGGTCTCCTGGAGAGAGAAGGGGATGGGGTGGGGGGCTCTGGGGGCCGCTGCAGCCCCCACATCAGCTCCCAAAGCCCAAAGCCCTGGGGCTGCGGCTGGCGGGACAGAGGCTGCGGGAGAGGCTCCAGGCC